CGGGAATTTTCTTGAGAAAACAAATACAAGCAGAACAAAATTTATCCCAACTGTACTTTTTAATAACTCATCATCAAGATGCTATATTCCCCCATGCCCATTCCGACTCTCAGTAAAGTCCTAATCACAATGATTCAGTCAGCACTGATAATCCAATCCTAATTTTTGGGGGTCAGCCAAGTGTCCGACACATATGGAAACCCATCAACACATTTCAGAGTATCCAAATAAAATAGTGCTCTCTGCATCCCATTTGTACATGGAAATTCCTGAGATATTTATTGGAATTGAATGTGCATTCTCTCCATGGACACATCCTGCTTACCTAATTCCAGAGAGTATTAGATGTAGGCTGCCAAGAACCAAGGCATGGGGACTCCATAATGTGTGTTGGTGTACTGCTGGAGCCTTAACAAGCTAAACCCACATAGCTTACCATTGATGGCACAGTCTGGCAAGTTTTCCAGCTAGGACCACCCAACCTGTTTGGCTTGGAGGGTAATGGGAGCCAAGTGGAAAATATCCCTGCCCCAATGACCGGTCTGCCCTTCCAAATCCTACTGATGAGCCAGCTTGACTGGCTGTCATCGGCAGTGCTCTGGAGTCCTGCAGACCACCCACTTGGCTCAGGAACTAGATACCAACACCATCACAGGGGATTGACTCGATTCCTGACATTCCATTTCAGTTCAGCTCCAAGGAGACTCCGCTTACCTCTCTATTCCAATCACAAGATTTTTCAAGGAATCCACGCTCTCTCCCTTCCAGTCTCCCATCACTGTAAAACTCTGGGAAATTAGATGTGGATTGAGATAAATGAATTCCCCACAGGACACATCGACTACTAAACTTGGGTAAAGAAGGAATATTGCCTGTGAATGAATACAGACCAGGGTTGATACAGCAGCTACAAGGTTGGGTAAAGTTCTGGAAAATTTTGTTTGATTGCCTTTTCCCACATGAGATTCAGGGAGTGGCATGGAGTCAACAATAGGATTCATTTTGATTGCAAGCGGAAAGAGTAATCTTTTTAAAAAAAACTCTTCTCTTTCCCATGTGAACAAATAAATACGTAAAACAGAAGCGTCACAGTCTATTTTGGTATGCTGGAGGGAATTCCCACAGCAGCGGGCCATAAGCAGCAGAGGTTTCAGTGTACACAAAAAGTGCTCAGCCTCCATTCCCAACAAAAATTAACAATATGAAGCTCAACCCACTTCCCATCCAATATTTCCTGCTTGAATAGAACAACAAGCATAATTTTCACTATCTATGCCATTGTTGTATTCTATGCTGTGAAAAAGACCAAAGGCAGGGCTAATGAGTCCTCAGAGATTTGTTTCAACCCTGTTGAAATAAAAAAAGAGCACCTCCCGGATCCTATGATAGTCTGGAAATACACTACGTGAGCTCACATAGGTCACATATAACACACTTGCCATCATGGTGCTGTTCAATGTACTGCTTAGTATTTAACAAAATCCTTTATTCCCTATACTACTCCATCCTCCAAGCTCTTTCCTTATCTTTACCACCCAACAAACATTGCAGGCAGGTAACTAACCTTGAATTAGACTTTCAGATCAGTGAAAATAATTTATTACTATTTATTTCCTTTAGACTTGAGTTTGAAATATTGTATGTTAGACTTACATTTAAGAAAACAATGAGTAAATACCCTATATAGTAATTACTCTATTTGGTCATTTACTTAAACGGCTGATTATGGGATACAACTGTGCGCATTCATCTACTAATACAGTCACTACATGGTAAAAATCCTTGGGACTTCCTTCTGATATGAAAGGCGCTATACAAATGTAATCTTGTTGTTGTTGTGCCAAAGCGCTAATCAAATGCAATGATGATAATTATTACAAAGAACTATAAACCCAAAACAGGTTATTTATTTGGTCCCGCTAGTCTGTGCCAATTGGTGTTTATACTCCACAAGAGCCTTCAATTCCATTCCCTCACCTCCCCCCTTACCCCATTATTCCCTTCTCCCTCGTGTCTTTAACGAATTTCCACTTAATATAGATGCTTTCTGCTTCAACCACAGCATCTAACAGTGAGTCTCATCGTCTGCTGTATAAATAAATTCTCCTAAACCTTAAACTAGGCTCTAACACACTATGTTAAACATTCACAGGAAATTCCTGCACCCAAATTTATAAACAATATCTAATTGAAATGTAGGTCACAAAGTAATACCACCTTCTAGACCTGTGCACGGTGCCCTGAAACATGCCAATTCTGCTTGAAGACCAGCCAAAGAGAACTTTTTTTTAAAAAATTCACTTTGAATATTTTTTAAATTTGATGACGTTCCCATCATCACCACCAGTTTTCTCCACTTCTTTCAAGTTATCTGACAAGATGTCACAGTCTAGTCCAACCTGCCTTCACCTGACCTCTGCATCTTTATTCACACAGACATAATTGTGCCGAATGGCCTTCCTCTGAGTTGTGATTTTCTATGGTTCTTCCAGGAAGTGAACAAAATCAGCAATTCCGGCTGACTTTCGCCATCCTAACCCAAGACACTAAGACCAACTGCAGCGCCCAGCAGTAATCTGCAAACCAACAGCTTGGGTAGAGTCTGTCATGATAACATCTAAGAAACTTTGTAAAGACTACGTCAGAGCAACAACTTACATTTGTATAGCATCTTTCATGTCAAGAGGACGTCACAAGTCAGAGACCTGAACACGAGCAAGGGAAGAGCGGTGGACATATCAAATCACTTTACAGGACATACTGTAAAGTGCAGTAACTGTGTTTTTATGGGTAAAAATAGGGAGATGCTAGGGCATGTGGAGATTTATAGGCAAGGATCTTGAAATTGACTTGTTGGGAGTCAGGGAGACAGTGAAATCTGGTGAGAACTGAAGTAATGGGGATGTGGAGTTTGATGAGGGTGAGAACGCAGGTAGCAGTTTTGTATGAGCTTGGGATTGATGGGCGGCGGAGCTTAGTGTGAGAGAGGTCATGGTGGCAGAGGTCTTGATCGTCTGCAGCTTGTACGGAGGAGCTGGGGATTCAATAATTTGTTTAATTGAGCTTGGGTATCTTTATGGCATGATAAGGGTCTCTATCGCCTGGGGGAAAAGGTAGTGGCAGAGGCAGGCAATGCAGAAATGGAACCCATGCCTACAGATGGACAAAGGTTGAGGATAGGAAGCAGAGGCTCCCTGGTCACAGCAAGAGAGAGAGAGAGGAGAAAGAGAGCAAGAAAAGGGAAAGTGAGAGGAGGGAAAGAGAGAGAGAGAAAGCGAAAGTGCAAGAGAGAGAGAGCGCAAGAGAAGAGAGAAGAGAAAGAGAGAGTGGGGTGGTTATTGGTGACTTTGACAAGGGCTGGCTTGGTGCTTGCTATGGGTAGGGCAGAAGCCGCATTATAGGAACTCAAGCAGGGAGTAGAAGGAAAAACATGCATTTATGGAGCATCCTTCAAGCAGGATAGCATCTTGGAGTAATGTAATAACTCGCCAAAGGCCAAGTTGGTCCAATTTTCCAAAACAAATTATCTTAGCAACAAGCTCAAATTGTTTGCAGTGTTTTTCCAACTCAAAAAACCCCACAAGACCTGGTGAGTACAATCATTTCTCCATTCCTACATGAGCTCACTCTTTTCACTATGTTACTTGGAATTGCACAAACCACAATAAAATAAATGTATCTGCAAGATGCTTGAGCGAATTACACTCTGAAGATTCACTGACATTACATGATGAAACAAGAAATCCATTAAGATTGCGCTTCAATTTTGCGATTTTTTTTTGTTGACACGCAGCTAATCAGTTTGAGAGGAAATCCTGCTACATAGAACATTATATATCTGCCAGAACCACACTGCATGAAGAATAACAGCAGCTGATGAATGTAAGCCAAGATCAACTTTGCAACTCTTTTCTATTGCAATGGAACCCTATTATTATGCGATTCATTATAACGCGCATTTCCTTAAAGTACAAACAGAATGTGGACCTATTCGCTCTGAATGCATGCAGTTGGTTGGCTTTAGCTCTAGCCAACTTCTGAGTACTCAGGTTACTTCCTGCGTATGCAGAAAGCAAGTCAACCAGTTGCATGTATGTGCAATCAATGCAGAAGAAATGACTAGTTAATGTGGTCCAATACGAGGCTGGTTGAGATTTTATGGCCCTCCCCCACACTATGACGGGGTTCATAAGTATAACTTCTGATTAATGTGCAAATAATAAGGCAAGATGCACTTGATATTACTGAACTTATCGGAGTGATTATTCTTACAGATATCAAGCCATCGCACTGTACAGTATTAAGTCGAAAATGATTAATTAAAAGGGGCACATGCTTGAATAAATATTTGGCCAAAGTTCTGCACGGGTATGCATCATTCCCTCACTTGCACATTATAAAATGCTTTTTAACCCATGCAACTTTTCTTTAACCAGGCAATTATGGAACAAGAGATTACCTGCGTAGAACTTGAATAACACATGGCCAAAATATACAAGCAAGAAGCCACCAGCACAATAGTTTAGTCTTCTCGGTAATCGATGAACTACTTTACTTTTGACAATACACAACCAACATATTTTCTCTGTAGAAAATGTAATTGCAACCTGAAGAACCAGAAGATGTTTTAATTCATAGGACTCAAAGAGCAAACCTGATTTTGATGCAGGTATAATAATGCAGTCCTTTTGTAAGGTTGACAGGTTGTTGACACAACGCTACTGTCACTTAACACCGGAAAAACATCCACATATCCGAATTTGTTGTGTCCCTGATTTATCAAAAAGAAGTTGATGTAAATTACGTTGACAATACTTTTAGAATAGCAGGAGATGCAGTTGGAGGTTTTCTATAAACAATGTTGATAAGAGCATCTCATTTAATTTGTGAAGAGTCGGTGTTTGCCTTTCTTTCAGAATAGTATTAAATGTAATCAATCGCGCGTCCTGCATTATAGGCAAAAATACACATTTTTTGGTGAAAAAAAAAGGCAGCATTACCTGCGAGATTGGCAATGGCCACCGGTATCCCCTGGACCTGGACTCCGCCTGAACTCAAGCTGCCAATGTTGACCGTCTGGAGGTTTGGCAATGACGCGAGTTGGGCTGCGGTTAAGTTGATGGCACCGCCGGTGACGGTCACGGGAGTGATTTGGGCAATGGTTGCAGCCCCACCAGAGTTACTGGAGGACACGGGGGTCACGGTCAGCTGTTGGGCACTCTGGACCTGCAGGTTGGAGAGGTTCTGGATGTTCTGCACTTGGATGGTTTGCCAGTTTATCTGCCCGGAGGGGGTCAGGCTCGGGGCCCTGATGATCACCTGAGTGGGGCTCTGCTGGTGCCCCGCCTGCCCTTGCACGGCAGCGGCCTGGAGGGCCTGCAGAGCGCGCTGGGGCACCGTCTGAACGATCTGCTGCTGCAGCTGCGGAGACTGAACGTGCAGCTGCGGAGGCGGCCCCGGGCCCTGCGCGGTTTGCAGGCCGTTGGAGTGCACCAGACCGGCCGGGGCCGCCGCGGTCTCCTCTCGGGCCGGGTCGGGGCTGGAGGCGGCGGTGAAGGCGGGCGGACCGGCCTCGGCGCTGCCGGAGAGGGCGGGGGAGGCGGGGGCGGGGGAGGCCGGTGCGCTGCTCAGGGAGGCGGCGGAGAGGGGGGCGGAAAGCAGCGGATTCCCGTTGGCGGCCCCGCCGTCCGCAGGCTGCACAAACTGGATGGACCCACCGCCCGCCGCCGCCGCCGCCGCCGCCAGAGTGTTGATGGGGACGGCGAGAGTCACACCGCCTCCGAGGTTGATGGGCAGAGCGGCCACCACCTGGGCCTGGGCCCCGGGGAGGCCGACTCCCTGCAGCTGCAGCGGGATGGACAGGCCGGGCCTGAGCTGGATGGGCTGTGGGGAGGATCCCGGCGGCGGCGGCGGCGGCCCCTGGGCCAAGGTTAACGTCGGTGCGTTTGCAGCAGTGCTCCCGGGGCTGCCGCTCCCCGCCGGGATGATGTGGAGCTGCCCCTGCGAGTCCTGCTGCAGGTTGGCGGCGCTGATGTGAAACTGCTGACCGTCCACCGTGTGGATCTGCGGGATGAGCTGATACTGCACGTTGCCGCTGACGGCCGCCGCCGCGGTGGCGGTGGTGTTGGTGGCGGCGTTGACCACCATGGACGGGTTCGGGACGCTCTGCACCGGCAGCACGATTGGTTTGATGTCGATGGGCGACCCTCTGCCATCTTGCGCGCTTGCAACGTTGCCGTTGGTCGAGCCGCTGCCGGTGCCGGTGCCGATGGTGGTGGTGCCGGTGGAGACTTGGTGGGTGACAACGCTATCTTTCGCCGCCGACGCCGCCGCCGGCCCCGAAGCGATGATCTGCCAACCGTTTCCGGAGAGCTGAGCGGTGACCAGCTCCAGCTGCTGAGGCTGCACCGCCCCCGAGCTCGGCTCCAGCAGCACTTGTCCGGCGGCGGGGAGAGCGTTGCAGGCGACCGGGCTCTCAGGCGGGCCCGGGGATCCGATCTTGCTGCAAGTGGCTGCGAGCAGGGCGAGAGGAGAGGGCTGGGTGTCCTGCCCCCACACACACACACACAACACACACACAGTGGGCGGGTTTAGAGAGGACAGAGTGGGTGTGAATTTACATTAGCACAAAAAGGGGCTTCACTCAGGAAGTACACAGCAATTAACGTTAGACGCATGCATTTAAAATACAGGTATAAATATATATATATATGTATATATTTTAAAAAAGGTCTAAAATTCTGCACTTTGCAATTTGTTTTTAAAATCAGCAAGTAGCTGTTGAAACCTGTAAAACATGGCTACACCTACAAATGCTACACAGGCAAGTGGTTAGCAGCATTTCTGTAGTTTTAGCACAGGAAGCATATTTTTTTTTAGGCGCAAACATTTCGTACATGTATATAAGTCACGTTTCCAAATGTTGGTGCTCTCACCTGTGAACCTGTTGTTTTGATCTGTAAATATTCACCAGGTTTCCCTCCTTCAGTTAAGGTAGCCATACTTTCCTCCTTTTGATCTGTGAACAACAAACATAATCATTAATAAAATAAGTAGCAAAAAAAAAGCCAAGACATCACACTCGAGTTCCTTTTTTTTTGCTGAATATACTGTACTCTCATATACTTGCCTCAATCAGCCATCATTACCCAAAGGAAGGGAGGGGAGGAAATAAAAAACAGAAACGTGGTTTGAAACCCTACCCAATGGATACAAAGTAACACCCCAAAACAGAGGATTGTCTCAGTCAACTCAGTACTGTTAGACTCTTGGTGTCAAGCTGATCAATTAGCAGAAAAGCTGTCACCAGGGCAAATTGACTTTTTTTTCCCCTCTCCTTTTTTTTGAAAGGAGGGAGGGAGGGAGGTAAGGAGGGAGGGAAAAGAGGAGGGTTACGTACCACTCATTCTGCATTGCTTAAGAGGAGGGGGAAATAAAGGCCAGTACAAAATGTAGGCAGAACAAGGCTGGGCTGGCCCTTTCTCTCCACGAATGGCTGTTTTGCGTAGGATGGAATAAGCAGGTTCCTCTTGATTGACGGAAATGGAACACGGAGGAGGCGGGGCAGAGCCCAGTGACGCAGCCCGGCGCGAGCCCGCCTCCCCCGAGTTCCGAGGCGGCCCGCCAGCCCTGATTGGGTGAATCCGCGGGATGGGGGCGGGAGATGGAGAGGCTGTCGGGAGTTGTAGTCTCCCGCTGCCACGCCCCGTCATCGTCCACACCGCTGCTGGAGGGAGGGAAGCGCGCATGCGCGGTAGCCAGGCGGGCGGGACGCAGCTGTGTTTGTGTGTCTAACGCCCATCCCCCCCTCCCCCCTCCACCCCCTCCATCATGATAGGTGGACTGGGAGCCAACACAGGCGGAGTCAGAGAGGAGTCAGAGAGACAGAGAGGGGTCAGAGACACAGAGAGAGAAAGGGGTCAGAGAGAGAGAGAGGGGTCAGAGACAGAGAGAGAAAGGGGTCAGAGAGAGAGGAGAGGGGTCAGAGACACAGAGAGGGATCAGAGGGACACAGAGAGAGGAGAGGGATCAGAGACAGAGAATGGAGAGGGATCAGAGAGGGAGATTTTATCTTGGATACACATTCTCGACTGTCCAGCACTTCAGGACATCCTCACGATAAGAACATAAGACCATAAGAATTTGCCAGGCGAAAGAACACCAAGTCCTTCCAGTTTGCCTTCCACCACCCGAGCAGGTGCATGACATGTCATGTCCCAAACTATATGGTGTATCCCGAGATATTATTTCTGATAAGAACTTAAGAATTTGCAAAGCGAAAGAAGAAAGGATGTGAACGGCGCTATGCTACAAATGCAATATGTTGTTGTTGTTGTCTGACACGTGCGGAAACCCATCATCGTGTTTAAGAGTATCCAAACTGAGAATTCCATGCATCCCACCTACAAATCGAAATTCCAGAGACAGATTGTTGGTATGGAATGCGACATTACCAACAATCTGTTTGGGAGGGATGTATCCTGCTTACCTAATTCCAGAAAGTACTAGGTGCAGGTTGGCAAGAGCCCCGGAATGTGCATTGGGGTACTCTGAAGTCTAACAAGCTGAAACCACATAGCTTCCTGTTATATCACTGTTTGGCAAGCTTTCCCGCTGCTTTCCGGCAACTTAACAGAGGTGGAGCCTGACTCTTGAGCGGGGGGGAGGCGGCTGTAAGCACGATCAAAGAGGAAGATTTTCAGGCGGTACTTGAAAAAGGGGAGAGACAGGGCAAGGCGGAGGGATTGAGGGGAGAGCACTCCAGAGTTTCGGAGCATAGCGGCTGAAAGCGTGACCTCCAATGGTGGGGTGGAGAGTGCAAGGGACGAGTCGGAGGCCGGTGCCAGTCGAGCGGAGGTGCCAGGTGGTGGATTGGGGAGTGAGGAGGTCAGAGAGATAGGGAGGTGCCAGAGAGTGAAGGGATTCAAACACAAGTGTAAGGTTCTTGAAGTCAAGTTAGGACCACATTTGTCTAGCTTGTCCAGTTAGGACTACCCCACCCTTTGGCTTGCAGGATTAACAGGAGGTGAGTGGCATGATTTCCTGCACCCGGTGACTAGTCTGCCCTTCCAGGTCCTGCCGATGAACCAAACTGGCTGTGCTGTCATCAGCAGTGCCCTGGAACACTGTGGACGCGCCTGGCTCAGGAACCACAGAGGTTTGGCTTGTTTCCGACATTCTGTTGCCAAACATGTCACGTTGGAGCCAATTCAGCTCCAAGGAGACCCTGTTTAGAGAGAGAGAGACAGAGATAGAGAGGAGGGTTTTTAGATGGGATAGGAGGGTCTTGAGAGAGGTGAGAGAGGAGACTCTTTAGAAGGAAGAGAGAATAATAATAATCATCCTTATTGTCTCAAAGCGCTTTACAGAATGTATTCTAAAGTGAATTGACTACATATTTTGTGCACCAAACGAAGCAGTCAATTGTGCACAGCAAACAGTTGTAAATTGAGTCACCAAATTATTGTTTTTTTAAGGGTATGATTATCACCGGAAAGCAATCCGTCAATTAACTAACAACTGAGTTCCTACTTACTGCTAGGTAAACAGAGACGTGTGGCGTAAGGAAACTTGCCTCAGGTTTCTTCCTGCCCAGGAATCGAACGCAGGACTTCTTGTTTGCTTGAGTGCTGATGGGTCTTGGATTTGTTTTTCATTGCAGTGCACTTGCAGCTTTCCATTTATTGCAATTTTTTCTAACCTAAATTTTTTTTATTTTGCTTGCAATTTTTTTAAAATTCAAATATACTAAGAAATGATGGCAATTTCCACAACCAAACGTGCTTGGGCCAGCTGCAAAACTTCGTTTTCACTTCTTTTAACTTTATTTGCTTTCTGCTAGACTTTTCAAAAGTTTTTAACCTGTGTGTTTAAAATACAAATTGGTTCCATAAATTTAGATGAACTGCAGGCCACTTTTAAGATTTAATTGCAATATTTGAAGTTGCTTTTTAAAAAGGTTGCTAAGAGATGGGCGTGTATTTAAAATGTTACAGTGTTCATTTTTGGCTCTGTGGCTGATTAATGTGGTTAACAGTGCAAGCCTAGCTCCTTTGATAGCATTTCTGCCTCTTGAGTCAGAGGGTTGTGGGTTCCAGTCCTATCCTGTGACTTTGAACTCATATACTCTGTACTGATATTCTAATGCAGTGCTGAGGTGTGTTGCATTGTTGGAGGTACTGTCCTTCAGAAGAGACGTTAAACCTGAATTCCTTCAGAAGAGACATTAAACCTGAATTCCCATCTGCTTTAAGCGCTCCGGGACGCTACCCTGCGTGAAGGGTGCTATATAAATGCAAATTGTTGTTGTTGCTTGTTCAAGATAGACATTAAAGATCCCATAGCACCATTCAGAAGGGAAAAGAGTTTGCCCCAGAAGCCTTGCAAATAATCCTCTAGTTAAAATTGATTATTTGATTCATGGCTGTTTGGAGGAATTTACTGGGACCAAATTAGCTGCCACATTTGACTGCAAATGCACAGTCACTACACCTTACAATAAATCCTGTGCAGTGCTTTGAGATGTCCTCCTGATGTGAAAGGTGCTATTTTACATGTAAGGATTATTATCATTGTTTACAGCACCCACACCATGCATGCTTTTAAAGCTATTGATAATAATGATATTATTATATTTCCATTTGAAAGCTTGTAGGACTCATGTGCCAAGGCAGGAGGAAATGGGAGCAGTTAGTTCCAGGTAAGTGACTATCAAACAATGCAGTGCTGGGGCAGGTGTTGTATTATCAAAGTCAGATATCTTTTTACACAGCATACATCAGGTTTCTACATCTTAGCCACTTAGGTAGTAGCAAGCTGTCAGCCTGGCTCAGTTGGTAGCACTCTGGTCTCTGAGTCAGACGTTGTGGGTTCAAGCCCCACTTTAGGACGTGGAATTCATTCTCTCTACCTTTGTCTTGCATCCTAGATTCTTCTTTACAGTCCAGTGCAGTACTAGGAGTGTGCTGCAATGTTGTAAGTGCCATCTTTCAGATAAGATGTTAAATTGAGGTCCCATCTGCCTATTTTGAAATTTCATGTAATCCTCCTGACATGAAAGGCACTGTATATACTGTAAGGATTATTATTTTATAATATATGATCAGGGAGTACTGTGACTGAATCCCAGGCGTGTCACACGATAAATAGCAAAATGCCACTGAATGAAACACAAACATGAATATCAGAAATTACACGATTTCCAAACAACTTCTCAGGCATGCTCATTGGAGGGGCAAACTGAGGCATTCTTCCCACTCAGCATATGTTAACCCTGCAAGCCAAAGACCTAATGGGTAGCATGGTCTAGCTGGACAAACAGCAGGAGGCATGCCAGCCAGTGCTCTTTGGCAAGTTATGTTTTTGCTGGTTAAACTCCATGAGCACCCCCAATGAATACTTAAAGGTAACTTCAAAGCCTTGTCTCTTGCCAACCTGTGTCTAACGCTCTCACTCCAGGGAGAGTGCACATTCCGTTCCAGACATGGGATTTTCTATGTGTAGATGTTTGTGATCTAGTGATGTGACCTTTTCCTTATTTTTCTCTACATTTTCACTTGCATCTTAGATTCTTCTTTAACAAAAACAATGACTGCAGCTGAACTGAGGAAAGTAAGTGGCAGGAATAAAATCTAGTCTGTCTAATTGTATACCACGTGTGGTGCAAGAGCTTTAACATACTAGAAAATGAATGTCTAAGGTTAATCAAATCTGCTCCCTAATAATTGTCTAAATTGGTGCTTTGAGTTCACTAATGGTAATTGTTTATTGTTGTGTTAAACTCATATCACAATATCCAGAATTCCAGTGGTACTGTTTAAAAATCCCTTTGATGATTTAAGTGTAGTTTTCTGCTCCAAAGTAATTGGGTGGAAATATTCCCAGCACTCCAAATATAAAGCTCATTATTTATATTGATGATATTTTGGGCCCTTTCTAAAATCAAAAATAAATTTCATATATCTTGCTATTCAAAAGGTTAACATTGAAACTGCATGTTTCAGATCTGATCAACACATATGTTATACAAATATATATATAATATATGTATACATACTTGAGCAGTGTGGATAATAAGGAACATGGAGGAAAGACAAGGAAATTTGATTAAAGCATCTGCCATGATCTAATACAATGGTGGGATGAGTTGAATGACCCCATTCTGCTCCTATGGTCTCATTTAGTTACCCAAAAATACTGCTTGCACTAGAAAGGTTTGTGCAAAATACTGTGAGATTGATCAATCTTCCAAAACAGCTTGGAGATTTGGGGAGGTGGTGTAAATGAGTGCCTTGGCTCTCAGTTTAGCACACAAATTTCAGGCAATAGCACCATATCAATCCAAATGTATTTATCACTGAACTCCCTCCATAGCCCCCCCTTCCCCCCTCATCCCGCCTAATTCCAGACATGGAATGGAATGGGCATTCTCTCACTGGAGGGAATCTCATCCAATTCTGGAAAGTATTAGGTGCAGGTTGGCAAGAGCCAAGGCTTGGGGAC